AGATGATGTTTTTTCTGCAGACTTCTTAGGTTGCGCATTCTGGGTCTTATTAGCAGCTTGCAATGATGGTCCATCCCAGAAAGGTGAAGAGGTAGTCTGAAACATGATGATCGTACTATTTTACCGCACACTGCATCAGAAGCTATAAACCTTTGGTGGTTCCACACCAGCACCACCCCAAGCTGGTTTTGCTGGTGCTTTTGCGGCAGCCTGCTGAGGAGGCTGATTCCACTGAAGACGTTGTGATGCACTCGACCATGTCCCAGAGGATTGAAGATTGACAGCCTCTTGGTGCTGCAAAGCTACCACTAATTAGGAAATGACTGTAAGGTAACCTAAGAAAGACGTACTTCTTTCCGCAGCCGAGCCTGTTCTGCCTGTTCAGCACGAAGTTGTCGTTCTTCCTCCTCCTGTATCTCCTTCAGCGACTTTTCTTTGGGTGGAACCGCAGCGGCTGCTACCCAAGGAGCGGCTGAATGCGTGTCTATAACGGTCATGAACATGGAAATAGGTAAAACTCAATTAGTCACCTTTAGTAGGTGGCGACTTCTTCTCATGTACTGGTTTCGGAGCTGCCTATAAGTAAAATGGGTACACTAGCTAAATTAGCAACGGAAATGACATCAACGGCTGTAAAATTTAGTAAGGAATCTCTAGGCTATTAACCACCAGAAAAAATTAAGAGAAAAAGGGTGTTTTGCCGATTGATAAAGCGCTTTAATAAATACCTGCCAGGCTTCTTCGATCTCAAACGCTTTCGTATTTTCCGGTCGCTTCTCCTTTTCTGGGGGTGGTGCTGCATTCGCTGCTTTTTTCCGCTGTTCCTCAGCCGCACGCTAAAGATAACTTTTTGTAAACATGAACTGGACATGCTTGCATACACAGATATGCAGTGAGCATTGAAATCACCTGCTTCTTCTGTTGTTCCGCATGCTGGCGAAGTTTTTCAGCGGCCGCCTCAGCAGCAGCCTTAGCACGTCGCGCTTCTTCTTCAGCAGCTTCTCGAGCTCGCCTAGACATATCATTTCCCAAAAAAATCAAATACATCATACGTTTCAGTGCACGAAAAACAAAAAATGTTGGTAGGACTGCATAGGAAAGTGCGGGACAAGGCTACTGTTTCTGCACAGTTACGAAACCCACACGATACCTTCCGACTCGTAAGAGAGCTATACTTAGCTCTCACAATACTAATGAAATTGATGTAAGCAAAAGTCTTACCTTTCCTTTTCAGCTTCTTCCTGTCGTTTCCGTTCCTCTTCTTCTTCTCTTCGTTGCCTCTCCAGCTCTTCCTCCTGTCGTTTTCTCCTTTCTTCTTCAATTCTCTTTT